TAACTAGAAACGATCTCGTTGCGAGCAACGAGAGGTCTTCCGTCCGATTCAGGAAAAAAAAACAACTCGTAAAATCGAGCTGAAAAGTGATTCAAAATTTTGGTCATAAGCAGGATTGAACCCAGGTCGCCAGCGTGAATGCGCTTTTTTTCTCTTTTTTCCCCAACACGCTAACCATTAAGCTATTGGGAGTACTGCTCTAAATATACTTGTTTATGCTTTTGCAACAGTACACCTGTCTAAGAAATTATAAAAGGCGGGCCACTATTCATAATTTCGCGCGAAACTCCTTGAGTAAATCTTCTCGCCTCTTCTTTAAACTGATCTATTGAATAGGTGTGATAGCCTCAATGAAATTTAAAAAAACTAAAACGTTCTTGTCGCCCTTATTTTATTTCGACGTTAAGAAAGTAAAGAGTTAAGAAAGTATATTTAACACATTGTACCATTACATATCGCATCTAGCCCAGTAACACTAAAGCAGTGAAACGGAAATTAAGTTCTAAGACTGACACTGAATTGCAACGTTCTACTACGTGAAAGTCCACGTAGCTTTTTTACATTTCATGTATCCTTATGTCAGAATCGTTTAAGCAAACGCTCAGCTGCCTCCATAAACCCCTACTTGCGAAATGGCGGAGTTGAAAGAGACAGCCGCCATCTTGGGCCCGCTTCAGATTTTCAAATATTTATATCTAGAGTTCTGATTAACCAATATTCAAACAACTTATATAGTAAGCATCAATAGAAGGGTCTCTATTAATATTCCAAACATTAATAAAAAATAATGAAAAACAAAAAAGTTGAAAATTTTGATTTTTTTGATTCGCTTCCGGTAGCGACCGGAAGTACTGACGACACACGAAAAGGACATTCCGCATATCTAGAAGTCATGCCCTATGTTCTCCAATAAGTCTCCAGTTCATATCTTTAGTAGTTCCTAAGATCTCGAACTGACAAAATTTCATTTGAAAATCAGGAAAATGGCCATAACTTGGCACCAAAAGCGAGTTGTTCCAAAATTCTTCCAAAGTTAACAATGGCATATAAGAGCGCATAAACCCTGAAAGTTTGATGAAAAAACGATGAATAGTTCTCGAGATATCGCGTGCACAAAATTTGTCTAAAAAATAAGAATAATAATAATAATAATAATAAGAAACAGTAGAATCACTATAAGGTCTTCCGTGAAGACGGAAGACCTTAATAATAATAAGAAACAGAGTAAAAACAATATGTTCCCCAACTTCGTTTGGGGAACATAATAATAAGAAACAGAGTAAAAACAATATGTTCCCCAACTTCGTTTGGGGAACATAATTAAGTGCATAGTTATGATGAGCAAGGGTGCTTGTACAAAAATTGTGAATTTTATGGCCCCAGGGTCAGGGGTCCTGGTGTTAAGGCGGGGCTCTATAGATTATATAAAGAAAATACATGAATTCTTTGAAAATCTTCTTTTCTGCTCCTAGGTATAAAATGAATAAACTAAGGGCATAGTTATGATGAGCAAGAGCATTTACCAAAATTGTGAAATTTATGGCCCCAGGGTCAGGGGTTTTGGTGTTAGGGCGGGGATGTATAGATTATATAGTGAAAATACATGCCATGCTTCCAAAAGCAGCCTTTCAGAGACCATTCATGTCCAACTTGCCCTTCAATGATAACCATATATTATTTGTGCTATGATGGTTTTCACGAAATAGTCAAAATTAAGCAGGTGCGTTTTTCTTTAAATATGCATATTTTCTGATACAACATTTTTCTTAAAAATATCTTTTTAAAAATATTTGTTATCAAGTGTTACTTTCTATCTATTAATGATATATTTATAAACTGTAAATGTTTTGACCTTATACCATACATAGTTTTGGAGTTATTGTTAAAATATTTTTTTTCTAGTCATGTTGACTTTGACGAAACCTTAGAGATTCATTTGGGTCGGAAATGGGCAAGAGAGGCACAAAATGGTTCAAAACAAAGTTTTTCTGGCAATCTTGTCCCTTGCAAATGAGTCAACATAGTGTAGATTTCTTCATTTTTTACGGTCTTCACTAAATTGATAAAACACTCTGTGCATATCATCACGTATTGTGTGGGATACAAAGAAGTTAGACTCTGACATGATGTATCTGATTGACCCTAAGCCACCGCTTGATATACAATATCAACATGGAAACGTCGGCGTATTGGAAAATTGCAAGAAGCAGATAATAAGAAGGAGATTGAAAATACATCAATACTATGGCATGTCAAGAAAATCAGCTAGGCGTAACCAGCCGATTGATCAAGTCGGACCAAACTTGACCTCCCGTCTAAATAAATACGAGGCCAAAGTGGAGTGTTGGCCATCACAGGTGCACTACACCAAGCACCTGTAGACCTCAGCCACCAGTATCCCCTTCTCCACCAACACGGGTCACAAACAAGGCTAACACTTACATTGTAAACTAGTGCTAATTGTAACGGGGACCGTTACAGATGTTCCCCAAACGCTCCCCAACTCCCGTTTGGTTCCATATTCCCTGTAATCTCTATTAAATAAGAAATACTTTATGGAATTTAGACTTAATCAAGGTCTTCCCGGAAAAAAATTTGATAATAGGCATTGCATGTGTGTTTATGTGCGTAACGACCATATTATCTTGTCTACACTATCTAAAATTTTAATATACGTAATATCAAAGCATTTAATCCAAAAGCATTAAAAATGCACTCATTCGAGTGTATTTTTAAATTTACTTATTTTACGTGCGCTGACTTGCACGCACGTGCAAGCACGTGCATAATGACTTCACCTTCTTGTAGGAGTCTCTTATATTTATCTATATTCTAAATCCCATCCTGTTTGATTGAAAAACAAGGGAGTTATAGCCATTTGAAGTTTCAGCCAATCAAATTGCAGCACACATGCATGCGCGTGATTTCATAATTTTTTATCTCTATCTTATTGAAGGATATCAAAATGAATGACTATATTTTAAAATTCCAAATATTTCGTCAAAAAAAAAAGGAGATATAGCCATTTAAAGTTTCAGCCAATCAGATTGCAGCACACGTGCATGCGCGTGATTTCATGATTTTTTTTTCTATATCATATTTTAGTTTATCCTAATGCATGACTATGTTTTAAATTTCAAAGCATTTCGTCAAAAAACAAAGGAGATATAGCCATTTAAAATTCCAGCCAATCAGATTACAGCACACGCGCATGCGCATGCTTTCATGAAAAATTTTTTATATCATGCTGTAGAACTTCATAATATAGGACTATGTTCAAAATTTCAAAAGATTATGACAAGAACCAAGAAAGATATTGAGACTTTAGTTTCAGCCAATCAGAGGGAAGCGCACGTGCATGCGCGTGAGATCTTGCCATATTGACCACGTCATCTTATTTATACTACTAATATATCCTTATATTATGAGTTTCAAAACATTTCATCAAAAAATAGAAAAGTTATGGTAGGATTCATTATATTGGTCATTTCACGTGTTGCACGTGCCCGCTCTTGCAAGCACGTGCGGGCAAAATGACCTTCGTTCGGCAACTCTGCATAACATGCCTACTGACCCAAAAAACATTTTACCTTAGTCGGATGTGTAGTTTACAAGATCACTCGTGGACAAAATTTTCCCAGGAAGAAGAAAAATAATAATAATAACTAGAGCAAAGCTCGTTGCAAAGCAACGAGTAGGTCTTCCGTCCTGTTTTGACCGGAAGTGACGTCAACAAAAAGAAAGCAATGAGCTAAGTTGTCTCCAGTGACTTTATAATTTCAATTTTGAGTCAAAACCTTCAAAATAAGCTTTTTTGGCTACTTCTGGTTTGGCCAAAAGTGATGTGAATTGACAAAAAATTAACTTTTATGCCTTCAGTGATATATGTTACCCAAAACCTTGTCAAGAATGACAAAAATATGCACTTTCTGATGACTTTCGGTTTGACCGAAAGCGAGGCTACCAGACGCATTTTGACGAATTCAATAGATTAAGCTTGACATTTTGAACAACTTTGCTTCTTTGACGTATTACAAATTCAAATTTTTTTTCAGATATTAAGGAAAAAATTTTGGTCCCTCTAAGTCCTTAATTATAGGGGCAAGCCCTTTATAGTTGATATCCTTTGAAAGATTGTGATATTCTTCACAACTTTTGTTCTTAATGTCTTTACAAAATATTAACATGTAAAAAGATATTGCAGAAAAGGTGTGAACATTTTCTAAATCCCCGATGGGATTTTTTACAAGCCATAGCGAGCGTCGATGTGCTGCACTTCCTGAGAAAGAGAGAGGTATGTGTCACATCAGCACATGTAGCTCTATCATCACTGAAAATATTATGTTTCTGTCTAAAAGCAATTTTGAGAACAATGATGGTCAATGTGACCCTATGAAAATCACAGAAATCTACACTAAAGAATGCTCTGTGCCAAGTTTAACTTTACTTTGTCCAGTTGTTCTGAGAAGGAAATGAAATTCTGAAGAATTTAAGATAAAGATGATAATGGGTGAATTTTCAAAATTTTACTACAGCTTTAGCTCATATGAGCTAAACTGTAAACAGATTTTGTGCTTTGTTGACTTTGAAATGTGACTGGACATCTCTTTGATCTTGTGTTTGAAATAACATGTCCTTTGTTCTGAATCATGCACATTTGTTAATGCTTTAGTTGTTTATGCCAAGATAGCAATGTTCCTTTAATTATACTGTAAAAATACACATATAAGATCTTATATATTGCCACTGAAGACAGACCTCTATCATCTTTACCATTAGAATTGATATGTCTTCCCTTGGAAGCGGAAGACCTCAATACAGATGTAAACATGCAAGATCTGACAAATATTTAAATTTAAGGAACATTTATTCCAAATTAAACATATTAGATTTTGCAACAAAATCTGTTTATCTTGAAAAACTGAAAGCAATTGATAAAATCATATTTTTGGAATTATGTCCGTTTCTCAAATCAAAATTTAAATACAGTGTATGATATATTTAAAATCATCTTCTTAAACTGAGACTTGATTCAGTTGATTGTTTCAATTTCATTCTGCTGTTTATTCTTTGTCATCTCCCAAAAGAGGCTCTTCTGGCAAATCATGATCATGCTTGGCATCAAATTTCAGTACTCAGATGACAGTCACACCTATCAAAAGAAATTGATTTTTTTAAAAGTACAACTTATCAGATAAGATAAACCATCAAACTTAGTTATAAGATATTGTTATAACTTTAAAAAATTGTTCTTATACAAATCTATACAGAAAAAAGATTTTTAATGTTTACTGAGTGGGCATAAAAAAATCGATGTTGGACCGCTCGGAGAGATGTTGGACCGCTTACGTCACAGAATGGGCGGAGCTTAATCTCATTTTCATTCTTTAGTTTTAAACAATAGCAGATCTAATGTTACATTACGGAATATAGTACAAAATACATGTATGTCAAAAAATATATAATAAAATGAAAGGTATAACAAAACATTTATTGACAGAGTTCTCGGGCAACATGCGTTTTGTCGGACCCTCGAACCAAACTGTCTGCCTTCGGCCTAACGGCCTCGGGCAGACAGTTTGGTTCTTTGGTCCGACAAAACGCATGTTGCCCTCAAACTCAGTCAATAAATGTATACTGTCACGTTTCTGCATGTGTATTATTTGTAAAACTACTCTATAATCATTTATAAATTTAGGTTTACAGGCAGTCATTTGAGGATGTAATAAATAACATATTAGTTTTTCATGATTTCAAATAAAGGGTATGTACTAGGGATGTCAACGAGTACCCGGTTAACCGGGTACTCGATCGAACGTCCGAGTATCGAATACTAAAGTCGGTACTCGGTTACTCGGATGTATATTTTTAAATATTTCTAATCTTATTTATTTATGCATTGAAACGTCCGTTTTAAAACGTTAAATGTTCATTGCACTTGTACATACAGTAATTAGGGTTTCCTGTGCACCTAAATGACCGTTATCACCTGTGGCAGTGTTTATACAGTAATTACCGTGACCAAGCACCTGCTACCTACCTGGCTTTTCTCACATTCGGCTGTCTTCTACCCTTATGTTTAGTTTGCTCTAATTATTTAATTTCATTGAACATCGTTTAAGGTCTATTATGTTTAAATAAATTAGATAATTTTGTCAATTCTGCAGAAGCCGTAAATTCTCGGTGAAAGTGACGATATATCGCACGTGCGATTGTTGAAATGGATGTGCTTTCAATTATCACTCATGCTTATAACTAAACTTTCAATATTATAATCTAAAATGTGCAAAATATATTCTATTTCTATAATTCAACCTTTTATTAAATGATCAACAAAACAAATTAATCTGAATCTCTATAAAATAAAAAAATATAAAATTACAAACACCGCCGTCTAATTATCTGCTAAATGACAGACTGACAGCTGATCGCTTCATCCGGTCGCCATTTTGCTTTGTAGCACTAAACGACGAAACATGAGAAATGGAGAGAGATGACATCACAAATTAACAACGGTTTGCCTTTTTAATTGACAATTTCTATCAGTTTCTATTAAAACTGAAACAAGATTAATGTAAATATTTTTTAATATGCATTGTTTTCCCTCAAATATCGGCTGTAGAAAGGAAGTATCTTACTTAGTACTGATTCGTTAATTAGCCTACCCTTTCAATGCACGGAGAATTCCATTTTGGCGAGTCTGGAATCTTTTTTAAAATATAATTTAAACGTATAACAATGTTTTAAAGGTTAAGAAATACCGTTATCAGTACCGGTATTAAATGAAACGGTATTTTACCGGTATTTTTGAAGTAACTATTCAGTACGGTACTGGTACCGTGTACCGGTGTCCAACCTTACTTATGAGAATGGGCTAGTGTGCTTATGACAACACGGTGACAATGTACTTAGTGCGTTTGTAACAGTTTCAGCAGGCTGTTTACACTACGCCGTCAAGCTTACACATAAGGCCAAAATAAAATATACTCTTGTTTCCTGTCCCCTGACCAAAAACATTAGGGTCGGTAGGTAGGGAAAAAATTTTATTTTGAGAAAAAATTTTATTTTCAAAATTTAATGAATGCAGAACATATAGCATGTAATAACTGTAATAACAAGAAAATGATATGTTAACAGTTTCAAAGCAAGTTTGTTAATCAAGATTTATAAAGTAAAGGTAACCTGTACACTTGTGATGTATTAATTCTGTAAATATCATTGGTCAACTTTAGTATTTTAGAGAAATAGTTATCCAAAAAATGAAAATGTAATAAAAACTTTTAGGGTCAGAGGGTAAAATGTAGGGTAGGTCGGGTGACAGGAAACAGGAGTATTTTTTATTTTGGCCTAATAGATTGTGTAAAGTTGTATTAGGCCATTCCAAGTTTTCTTCTCTGTTTAGCGTCCACCCATCTTTCAAAAACCTACCAATCTATTCGCAAAAAAAACAACAACACAGAAGTCAAAACATAAAACACAGGATTAAAATGATTTTCAATGATTTGATCTAACTAAACTTCTTTAATAGAAGAAATGTCTATTCTTAAGCAAAAACAAGGGAATAAATGCTTACAATACACCAAATATAACTTACTGTACAGAATTATTTGGAGAAATTGACAAATTCAACAATTTTGCCTAAATTAATCAATTTCAGGACTCCTGATGTTGTGTGTTTTTTCTAACATTGGGTGTCAAAAACCAAGGCGCACACGGACGCTAAACATAGAAAAAACTTGGAATGGCCTTAGCATGGCAGCATGTTGAGAGCATCAGCACAACTGCATGTTGTTCTAAGTTGCCTTAGCCTAACAGTGTTGAGAACACTGTGTTAGCACATTGTTCCTAACACACACTTTAACAAATTGCCTTATCAGGACACCATTTAGTTTTCCATATATATTTTAAAAAGACTGGGAATAAAATTCAATTTTCGATAAGCTTCTTTTCATTATAAGTGTTTGCCTAAGCGTTTTTTACTATATAACCCAAATACATCATTGTCTGTTAGTGGAAGGGCAATTGCTATGTATAATCATGAAGCTGGGCTTGATTTTAATTCACTGCATCAAACCTAAGACAAAAACATGTACGCAGTTATGTTCCCTAACCATGCACCCAACATTTGTAGTGAATAAGACCCTAAAAACCTCACAGTAGATGTTAGGATAATGACCCTGAGTTCCAAGTAAAGGTCCATATTGAAGCTATTCACCAGTATATATTGAATGAGTGAGATTCTCATGATAACATTATCAATCAAAGTATCAATAAGAAGCTGATACTTACTGCTAAATGCTAGAGACAGGTTTCTCCAAACAGACTGTATAAACCGAGATTCTGTGTCACAGTAGGTGTGGGTGTTGGCACGAAAAGGATCCCTTACTTCTCAAAGGCAATAAGTGCTGAGTACAAGTCTATATTTGCAGCTTACTATCCCAAGTGGTGGCATCATAAAATGACTGAAAAATTTTCAATAGACTAATTAAACAAACAAACCATTTCTGCAGCCTCATCACAAAAAAAAGCAAACTCTACTATTACATTTTTTTTTTTTACAAATTTCTTTTGCAATTTAACTAAGAAACATACATATGACATAATAAAATATTGATTTAATTAACTGAGCAATATTAAATTGTGTGCAATTATTTTGTAAATAAATTATACTAAATTTTTTTCTGCAGTAACTTTGGACCCACAGTGCTTTGCTTCTTTGAGCTACGTTCAAGCTTTAAAGTGGTATTGTAGGCCAAACTTACACTACGACGTCATGTGACTTTAGAGTCTAGTGCCCTGTTCAGACGGAGAGTTTAATTCGCAGTAAATTATTGCGAAGTAAACTAAATTAAATGCAAATCAAACTAATGCGAATCAAACTGTGTTCACATGACAGCTAATTATAATGCAAAGTAACCAAATTGAATAAAAATTTTACTTTGACAGTCATGCAGGCTTCAGTTAGGCTTTTATGACATCATTTACATATCATGTCACCTTAGGCATAAACAGATGTATTTGACATAATGTCACAGTGTCTGTTTTCACATTTTAGTGATTAACACTATATTTTCCTTAGTTTTTCACTCAAAAATAGCACAAGTACTTAAAGCTGACCACCAACATGTAGCATTTGACTTAATTTTGCCATTTCACATGCCTCAAAATTTAATTGGATTTAGCTTACCTTAGTCATATTAGTGTTCACAAGGAGCTAATGCAAAGTAATTTAATGCGCAGTAAATTAATTCGAATTAAAATAATTTGAATTGAAATCAGTCCATGTGAACATGCATCGATGCACCAAATGTCTAGTGCGGTTTGACAAGCCTGATCTAAATTAAAAGTGAATAAGTATCTGCCCTTACCATGCTTATCGTACCCGATTATCACACCCGTCAACATATACTACTCAAAATTTGATAAGGATCATTTAAATTTTCTATAATTTGAGATAATCAATAACTGTATAACTGGCAATATTTTGTCCATATGCAAAAAAAAAAAAAATGTTTTCAACAAACTTGCACGTGCATTTCATGTCATGGAAATGGTTTCTCGTCACAGTTTATACTTTTGCTACAATTGCACGATTTTCACTCAGGCAGCGGTGTGATTCTTTCTAAGATTTAAAAGAACTCACCTGAGTGTTTACACTACGTTTATCAACACAATGGCCCCTCAACGTGTAAGGCGTCGCCTGACGACAGAACAACTAGGTAGATGTATTGGAATGCTTGACGCTGGTTATTCACAACGTGATGTTGCAAATGCGCTAAACGTCAGCCAAAGCGTTGTAAACAGAGCCTGGAACCGACGACAAACTTTTGGTACAGCAGCACACAGACATGGGGGTGGTCGTCAGAGATCAACAACTCAACGACAAGACCATTTTGTGGCTCTTCAGGCACGACGCCACCCCTTCTGGACAGCAACCAGCCTGCGTAACGACCTCCTGAACGCCTCAGGGGTAAACGTCTCGACTCAGACGATACGGAATCGGCTTCACAATGCAAGTCACAACTCGAGAAGGGCATGTGTTCGAATCCCTCTGACTGTGCGACACCGGCGGGAGCGATTGGACTGGGCTGAAGACCATGTCACTTGGACACAGAACGATTGGGTTCCAGTTCTGTTTACCGATGAGTCCAGGTATTGTTTGGACTTTACAGACAGGAGGCAACGAGTGTGGAGACGACGGCGTGAACGTTTTCATGATACCCACATCAGTGAACATGACCGTTATGGTGGTGGTTCCATCATGGTCTGGGGTGGAATCAGCAGGGATGGAAGAACAGATCTTCATGTCCTGGAGAGAGGAACAATGACGGGGGTGCGGTACCGGGATGAGATCCTGGATGTTTATGTTAGACCCTACGCTGGTGCTGTTGGCCCTGAGTTCATTCTGATGGATGATAATGCCCGTCCACATCGCACCAGGGTGGTGGAGCAGTACCTTCAACAGGAGACAATTGTCCGTATGGACTGGCCAGCACGCTCGCCGGACTTGAACCCGATTGAGCATGTTTGGAATATGCTGCAAGTTGCCCTGTCATGCCGTAGAGCACAACCCACGACTTTGGCAGAGCTGGGAAACGCCCTCGTTTAAGAGTGGAACGACCTTCCAATTGGAAACATCCGGGTGCTTATTGACAGCATGGCTCGACGTTGTCAAGTCGTCATTGATGCAAGAAGAGGCCATACTCGGTATTGACACTACATTGACTATTTGTGATGATGGACTTTCTCCAAAAAATGTGCAATTTTTTCTCCGGTTTTCTGTTAACTTTTTTGTAATGAAATGCCTTTTGGTGTTGTTATAAGATTTCAAGCATTTCTTACTGGTAAAAATTCATGTTGTTTATAGATATCCTTTCATAAACTGAGTAAAGACATTTTTGACTTAAATTTTTGTCCGTTGTTATGTTAGTGGTAAAATTACACATATATAACCTAGTGATCCTTATCAAATTTTGAGTAGTATATTATTAGTTGAAAAGCATTTTGTTTTGAACATGTTGAAAGCAAGTCTTGTTGAAATTACATGCTCACACATATTTAATTAAAATTTAAAGCTGTGGGGATTTTAAAAGGCTAACTGAGAGCGTCTGAACTGTAAAACAGTTAATATATCGCTGTGTCTGTGTATTTCTAAAAATATCGACAGCTGATAAATGCTCTAAGCTGCCATAGTAATATAATTAATGTAAATTTTAGGTAAACAAAAATCTTACCTTCGAATTCATTCCCATGGTCCACGCCAATCATAAATTAAAATGTAACCGTCAGCTCTTTAATCATTCGATACAATTATCACTGGGGAATCCGAAACAGAGTCAAGAGTGTTCATCCCTGTTTATTACTGTGACAGTCGGAATTTCCTCGTAAACAATTCACACAAGAATATATAAATCGGATAACTTTGCTTAGAATAATGCTCCAGAGGATTGATAAAGTACTTTGAGCTGCAGATAAAATGTCCGTGCATGTTTACATACGGCTTGTATGGTGAGAAAATCCTCAATTTACTTTGTAAACATGATCAACATGTGTCCGATTTGCCGATTTCGATGGGACACACTGAAACCCGGATGTACTAAAGACCTGAAATTACCGATGTTTTTATTTTAAATTGAATGATAATATTGAGTACTTAAAATGTCTTATTTTAAAGACCTTTGACTATGATGCATTATGTTATACAAGAAATCATTTGTTTGGAATATTACTGACAATTTTAAATCAGGTCAAATCAGGATTTTAGCATATCAAGTCTTTAGTACCTTCCCGTTTCCCACAATGCCGCGCGTTGTTTACACCTAGTATACAAATGCAGAAAAAAAACCCATTTTGATTACATACATCACATTTTAAATTACTTGCATAAAAAGAAAACAGACAAACACCGAATCAACACTATATTTTACTGACGCATCAACTAAAACCAGGGACCTATGTTAGTATATATAGGTCCCTGCTAAAACTGTGCGTTAGTGGCACAGTAAAGGCTTTGCTGGCTACAGTAGCTAGACAACTTGTCCATGTAAGGCTTCCCACATATTTGTTTTATAAAAAACAAATATAGTTTGGAGTTTGTTTATCTTTATACCAAATGACAGGGTTTTTCATCAATTCGAAATGATTTCAGAAAAATTTTTTCATAGTATAACTGTTACCATTAAAAAATAAATATTTTTAGCTCTCAGAAAAAAAAAACCTTTATGATCTATTTACCCCTGGCCTAATTATAGGGGCCAGCCCCTTTTCCTTAATCTTATATGAAAGCTCTCATAATTACGCACAACTTTTGTTGTATATTTCTTGGCAAACTATTCTCGGTGCAAAAGTAATTACGCGTTTTGACCGGAAGTGACGTCATTTGACGACTTTTGACAATTCCGGCATTATTTCCAGCTGACATCACAGTCAGCAAGTCAGTAAAAAATTGAAAAACTCAAATTCAATCGTTTTATTTGATTTATTTTGATTCAAAGGAAAAACTTTGAATTTTCGACTACTTCCGGTTTTTACCGGAAGTACTTCTGATGGATGCCTTTTGTTGAGGATTGTGAATAAAAATATATGTTCTATTTGCCTTTAATCAATCCCGTTAAATTTTTCAAAAAATCTTAAAATTAAACATCCCTTCCTGTGTCGACTGGAAGTGACGGATGCGAAATTAAAAGACGTCATGCATAACTCAATATGATGTTTTATAATCCCTGAAAATATCATGATTCAATCTTGAGTGGTTTACAAGAAGATGCTTGGACAAAATGACAACTTAAAAAAAGAAAATCGGACAAAAAATGCGACCGGAAGTGATTTTCAAAAAAATGAAAAAAAGGTCTGGAGATATTACAACAATGCATCATTCCTGAAAAAATCTTTGAAATCGGTTCTGTAGTTTCGGAGAAATCACGTGTACTATGAAAAGGGAAAAATAATAATAATAGGAAACATAAGAAAAACAGTAAGGTCTTCCGAAGGAAGTCGGAAGACCTTAATAAGAAACAGAGTAAAAACAATATGTTCCCCAACTTCGTTTGGGGAACATAATACTGTGGTTTCATCAATATTCGTTGTGCACCAATTTTCGTGGATTTCGTTGTTGAGCAGATCCACGAATTCAAATGTTCATTGAATAACGAAATATGACATTCATTTGTATAGGCAATACTCTTGTCCACGAAATTACGTATCCTCGAAACTGTCTGTTTTACAAAATCCACGAAAATTGATGCCAACGAAAATTGATGAAACCACAGTAATTGATAATGATTATTCTACTCATTAAAATATTTTTCCCAAACCCTATAGGTTTACAATTACTAGGTCATTAATGTCTGTGGTTACAATGTCTTGGCGTAGGATCCCTATGTTATGCAGCTTAACGCATGTAACAACATACATACACGCTCTGCTCGGGTTGGTACGAAGTCCTACTGACAGGCATTTTCAAAATACCATAGGTTTGTTCAATGAGGACTTTTGTCCTACATATAGCGCCCTATTGAATTTCTCCCTGTAGTGCACATCATGGCGGGTTGGTAGGATATGGAAATAACGAACAGTATTCAATCTCAACGTCCATTAAACAAATCTACAAAATAAGAGCAGACACGGACCTCCGAAACATCAGAGGTGGGATCAGGTGCCATGGAGGAGTGAGCATCCCCTGCTGACCGGTCACACCCGCCGTGTGCTCGATGTCATAATCAGGAAATAACGGAAAAAATCCGTGGTCAGTTCAGTGTATAAATAATGGACTAATAATTGGTATGAAAAACGTCAGTCAGCATTTCATTCAATGATAAATTGTATTTCCTGACAAGGTCATTGTATCGATCATAGAATTTACGAAATGATGACTTTAAAAGGGACTGTTGATATTCTTGTTTCATCAACTTGCTTGTCAATAATTTACCTCGTTTAAGGTTATCTGTTTTCTGAAGTTTCAGGGTTTTCAAGGTCCGACACATCTTCTTCCTCATAGTTAGGATTCACTTCATTGTTCTGTGGCTTGTCTTCCTCTGGACTTTCTATTTTCTAGTTTTCCTCTTTTGATGTTAGTGCTCACATGAGAATAATAATTTGTAAAGATTCTTCAACGTTCACTTCTTCTTCATCTGAAATGTCGGATTACATGTCGTTCTTGATGGTCACAAACACTGGCTCAGGCTCATCATAATAACTATGGTTATTACTAAGATTTTCAGATACAAAAATACTAAGCATTTGTCGAAGTGTTCTGTTAAATCTTTATACGAGACCATCTGACTGGGGGTGATAAGGGGTTGTTCTTGTTTTTTCAATACCTAAAAGATTACAAACATGTTAGAAAAGATGTGATTCAAATTCCCTCCCCTGGTCTGTATGAATCTGGTCTGGACATCCAAAACGACATATGAACTCTGTTACTAATTTGTCAGCTACTGTAAGTGCTGTATGGTCACGAATTGGAAATGCTTCTTTCCATTTTGTATAGTAATCCCTTACAACCATAATATATAAATTCCCATTTACAGTTTCTGGTAAAGGCCCTACTATATCTCTGGCTATACATTGCAAAGGGGCACCCAATTTGAATTGTTGAAGGAGGGAATTCCCAACCCAGGGACCTAGCTTACAACGAGCACAAAGTTCACAAGACTCACACCATCTTTTAATACAATCATCCATTCTAGGCCAATAAAACCTGCGTTTTGTTAAAGTAACAGTTGTTTCAAGCCAAAGTGGCCAGCAATTTTCTTAGCATGCAAATTTTCAAAAATGTGTCTTTGAATTTTGGTTGGGGCCACCAATCCTGACTGTAATATTTGCGATATAAAATTTCATTTGGAATTCTAATATGTCCCACTGGGAAAACAAATTTTTTGTTTCTCTTGAAAACCCTGACATTTCTGATTTTCTTGGTTTGTTTTGATTTTGTCATTTGAAATCAATAAATGGGCCAATGATGGAATCATTTCTTTGCATTTTTTTATTTTCATTGTCTTGAAAACTCTCTAGCCAATTAGGTTCTTCCTCATGATCATGAAGATTTTCATTGAAAGTCATTGGGAAAATGCTAAAAGGGCTACTAGAATGCTCATAGTCCAAATTTTTAGCATTGGCTAACTGATCTATTGATAATTGAATATTACAAAATCTAAGTCAATTGCATTATAAAGATATCACATAATTAGGAAATCCAGTGTAGAACTTGGTGCGTCGATCATCTCCTTTCAGAGTATGGAAACTAAGTGTCTTTTCAACATCATCCCTCAGAAATTTGTTTTCTTCTTCCAGTCTTTGTAATGAGGCCTATTACGTTTCATTGTCTTTAACCTTCTTCACATTTGCGCTGTAGCAGTTCCTGTTCTTGTGTCAACTGGGCACAAGTTTCAACATTCTTGTCGCACACACTCTTCTTTGTCACAATCAGACCTGTCATGACTGGTAGTGAGATTTCAGTTTTTACGGCGATATGGCAGACAAATCACACTGGTGTTTGTGTGGAGGTTCCAGTCGTGACACATAATGGTTCTTCCTGGCTCAAGGAGAGTAGAACTTGGGCAGATTCGTTTTTCGCAAGGTTCTTTTTTCTATCAAGAAGCCTCTGGTGACGTTGAACTTTTTCTTGCAGAATGCTTTCAGGAACGGCTCGGTGAGAGAAAGTGACCTACTTTTAAATATCTCAAATACATATTGGTTTAGAATCTTCAACCTTAGTTTGTCTATAAATGCATCTTGAGTCCTCAGAAAACTTCAATCTTAAAGTAGGTCACCGTGACCTACTCATGGTTTTTTTATAGCTTTATAAAATATCTTTAGTCCTTATTGGCTATGAATCATCAAACTTTTTATCAGTTGATGCAACTTAGGATTTAGGATACTTAGGGTTAGAGGCTTCAAAAACAAGTGATAGGTTGTACAATTTATCAGAAGAGCGATTCAAGGCCCTTGGGCCTCTTGTTTAAACATACCTTTGCGGAGTTTGAAAAGTATCAGTTCATGGGACAGTTCTCCGGTTCGCCCTGCTCTACCCATCTGCTGCACGAAGGTATCCAATTCCTGTGGCAATCCATAATAAATTATGTTTTCTAACTAGGAGATCTTCTGTAGGAGAGTAGGTTTTCTCCCAGCACAGTACACTAAGATATATTGTGTTCGGGACGTTTTTCCTGGAAGAAGTCAAAGAGTGTAGACGATGCCAGTGTCTGGTTACTTTGATCATCTATGATGGCATACACAGTCCGAGCTACTATTGGTGTATCTTCTCGGTATACACGCACTTGGAGAATCTTAGCACACGATCTGTTCGTAGGATGAGTTGTTCCACAGACTCAGACCTGCCTACCCTTCCGCTTTTGGCGTAATTCTTCTGCTTTTTACCACAATATTACGCTATTAGCCACTTATATTAATTTTACGCTTTTGATATCTTGGTTTAAAATCCATTATGAAAGTCTAAATTTAAAGTCAAAGTACGACCTGCAGAAATTAAATGAGGAGTTCTAGTAAAAGTAATAAAAA